CAGTAAAATCGGCAAACGAACCGTGACGTCGACCAAAATATACACTGAACGGTGCGCTCTTATGACGTCGAGATATCCGAATATTCTGATAGAGCATCGTAAACGGAAGACGTTCGTCCCATTGTAGGGGAACTTCTTCGCAGCATTGTCTAATGGATCGTGTAATCTACTTATGACGTCATTCGGCAGTACCCAGTATTTGGGTCGGTCTGGCGGTGACACCATAAGTAGCATCCCCACTTCTTGGACCAGGAGCTCCACTATCTTGTTGGTGAATTCATTCCCCATGTCCGTCTAGATCATACGCGGAAAGCCAAGCTCGCCAAAAAACCTCTATTAGTGTCTGCACTGTCGTCTCCTTTGTCTTGTCCGGTGTTGCTCGAAGGATTGAGTAGCCTGTAGCAATGTCCAGGACATGAAGTATATAATTGATCTTCCACCTGCACTCAAGTGGCATCGGGATGTAATCAACTTGAATGTGGTTCCACGGGTAGCGCGCGTCAATGCTGATCATCGGGTGAAAGCCTTTACGTAGGTTCGTGGTGAGCTTGCGTTAGTTGCGTACGGCGCTGTTGTTCTTCTGGTGTTGCTTGCTCAAACGCCGGTTGACCCCCTGCGTCTGCCATCGCCACCGAGATCTCTCGTACCGTATCTAAACACATCATGTACGCCGTGTGTTTTGGTTCTGCATACCCAAGTCGCTGTAAAAACAGCGGATCCAGTTTGAACCCGTTAGTAGGTCCCACCGTGCAATCACTGTGTGTCCCTCTGGTGTCTTGCCACATGCGTACTTAGCATACTTGAGGAACGTATGCGGCGGCCGTAGAACCAGCATTGGTTCTGACTGTAACAACTACTTGAACAAGTCAAACCACGGTGCCCTTGGTACCCACGGTAGATATACAGTTGCTCTTGCAACATCAGCTCTTATCTTGCGCAACATTCTATGTATCTTCTCCCACGGTGGGTTCATCCATCCGTCGACCGTCGACCAGTTTCCCCATCGTCTTTAGTCCAAAATCCAGGGAGCTGAGCGCTAGTTGGGTCCGCAAATATATCTATGTTATTCGGACCGAAGTGTTGCTGCGCTTGTTCAAAGTATCTAGGGAATAACTGCCAACAATCTGTGTACAGTATTTCACCCCTCGTGTACTCTGCTCAACATGTCCGGAAGCACGTTCCACTAGTTGGGTCCGCAAATATATCTATGTTATTCGGACCGAAGTGTTGCTGCGCTTGTTCAAAGTATCTAGGGAATAACTGCCAACAATCTGTGTACAGTATTTCACCCCTCGTGTACTCTGCTCAACATGTCCGGAAGCACGTTCGCCTCTACTGGTATATGTGATATGGGCGAAAATGTGGTGCCATCTCTGGAGCATCGGATTAAGCTTGAGCTGTGTATTCATGTATACCAGGGCCTTGTGATGCGTGAAGACTGCAAACCGTTGCCCATCCAAGTGCTCCCTATAATGTGTAGTTCTGTTGCGCATGGTTCAGAGTCTTATTGAAGAACATTAAATAGTGTTGCTTCCCGTTGACCCATTGTAATAGTGCTCCCACCAAACCGTAGTCGCTAGCGTCGGTTTCCAAGTTCAATAGTACACCGTCGACCGGGAAGTACATCGCTACTGCATTAACAACTGCATCTTTCATCGCCTGCCACGCTTGTGCATGTCTCGCCTCCCAACGATCGCCGATCAACTCATTCGGTTTGAGTTTGCAAAATTCGCGCAAGGGTGCGACTGTGTTCGCGAAGTTGGGGAGATGCTCATGAAGGTAATTTGCCAATCCTAAGGCAGAGGCTTAGGTCAGTCGATGAGCTTTACCTGTTTCTCATGATCAATGTCTATGCCTTGAGCAGACACATTCTTCCCTAGGTTAAGAATAACAAAGCGGCACTTGGCGGGGTTAAGTTTAAAACTATGGTATGTTAAGCATTGAATCACTTTCTGCACCGTCTTAATATGTTCGTCATAGTCGTCGCTAGCGATAACTATATCGTCGATATAGTGGTGGACCGGTAAGCCGTCGAGTATCGTGCTCAAAGTACGCTGGAACTGTTGCGTGAGCACATGGAATCCGAACGGTGCTGATGTAAACGAGTACTGATAACGCTCGTGTGTGAAACTAAACAGGTATTGTAAATCTGGATGGATCGGCAGCCTGTGGTATGCCACAGAGATATCCAGCGTGGTATAGTACTTCTTACTCTTGAAGCGAGAGATGAGTTCGTTGACCTTTGGAATAAAACAACTGGTCACCAGAGATAAGCGCGTTGACGGCGCGCATGTCTAAACACACCCTCACCTTCTTCACGTTTCCTTCCGCATCGAACGTCGAGACGGCAAGAAGATGGAGGTTAACGATCGTCGGTGTCGTACGTTTCGTTATCACCAAATCCGCCAACCACTTCTTCACTTGTTCGTCCACGTAGAATAGCCATCGGTCGGATACAAAGTTACGTGTCGACCTGCGCATGTGCATCGCCTGTTCACGTGTTACGGGAATGGTAACTTCTCTCCCTTCCAGACGACATCGTACATTGTCGGCAATCCCGTGCCAGCGTTGGTATGTGTCGGCGGGCTCCGTCGTGTTCGGTGCTTGTCGGCGTGGGATGGGTTCGAGGAGCTCATCAAGTTCTGTAGGGTCTATCGGTGCAAGGGGCGATTGGATACCGACTATATATAGACCCAAGCATTTCAACATATCTTGTCCCACTGTGATGTAAATTCATCAATTCAAGTGACCCGTCGATAATCTTGGTTCCATACCGAATGGGCAACACTTCCGTCGTCCCCAGTCGAGGAGTTCGAACCGCCTTGTCAGCTAAATAGATGAATGATCCAGATGGTGCTGGAGTTATTGCGCGGCCGAGGAGGTCTGCGGATGTCTGTGAGATACAACTTCTGTTTGCTCCCGTGTCTATCAATGCTATGAACGTGCGTCCGTTGACCTGCACTTGAATATAAACCCGGTTATCAGAAGATAGCAATGGGTCCTGTATCGCCATCACTGTCCTGATAGTGTTAACAAACGTAAAGCTCATATCCGACTCAGACACCCTCACATCTCATGCACGTTCGGTCACAGACTCACATACCCCTTGGTCATGATCTGGTTCCGGTGTCGTGTGCTCGAAATCCTCCTTGAGTATCGAGTTGATGTGTACCTCGGTAGATTCTGATGGTGGTACAAAGTCGTCGTCTTGTGTTATCGCATTCACCTGTACCTGAGGAGTCGGTCGCGTAGATGCAAACTCCCTATACGGGTTGTTGTTCTGCCCCTTGCCTGAGGTTGGAGCTGCGGCCAGTCTGTGTGCAGGTTGTGCGTCGCATGACGGGCGGTTGTTGTCGTACGGGCGCGCCCGACCATCTGTACCCACTGGTTGCGACGCACAAAAATGATGACATCGCGGAATATGACGTGAACCCGGTGGTGCTTGTGCTTGACATCCAGCACATGTCATAGGTGGCGTCGGTTGGGGTTGCTGTGTCTATTTCTGCGACTGTATTCGAACCGTCTGCGGGTTGGGGCGGCTATTGGTGTAGTCACGAGCCCCGTTAGTCGTTAGCCCCTCCCGATTATTACGGTTCTGGAGACGCACAGTGGTGCGCTGTTGCGCGTCCTGAATGACGGGGCTCAACAGCTGCAGAAGCTCGTGCGTCTTTATCAATTTCCATTTCAAATGTAATTGTAGAGTGCGTTTGTACGTTCGACCATTTAAGGCTTGCTCTAACAACTGTACAATACAATGGTTAATAAGTTCTGTTGAAAGTCTGCATCCGTTTGACACCGTTCACGTGCCCTCCTATGATTTTCCATGAGCTGTGTCATTTGTTCCATGATGGGGGTATGTATGTTCCGACTGTGGCCCTTGGCTAACTTGCGAAACGCGGGATCGACAGTGGCTTGCGCTCATGCGAACAGATCTGTTCGATTTGTAGTTGTGGAGTCCACATCTTTAATCGTTCAGAGTTGTCGCGTATGTAATCTAATGTTGATTTCTCTGTCTTGAAGTAAGATAATACCTTATGGAACCATGTGAGGCTCCAACTCTCATCTAACCCTGCGATTTGTGCGTTCTTAAAAGCCTCAAGTAGTGCCCCTCGCGTATCCCGTTCCAAGATGTCATGAAAGTGGTATGGATTCGACGGCCAATCGGGCCATGTATGTGGTGATGGTATGGGACTCTTCTCTACCGGCCGGGACTCTAGCGTAGCCCGAAGCGTTTCGATCGCTCCCCGAAGAGCTTCAGTCCGAGCCGTATTATTATCCTCTATTACTTAGCTCAGATGTAGTATTCGTGCATGCAGCGCTTGTCGACTTTTCTGTGGCTCTCCTTCTCTTACTGCTTGGGTGTCTGTACGTGTCCACTGGCGGCATCCTGTTCGAACGACTTTCTCTGCTGCTGTTGGCGGAAGTTCGCACTCAGCCGATCCTGCCTGTTCTTCAACGCCTCACTCCCATGGGGGTTCTGCTTGGCTAACACCTATTCACGTGCGAACTCTTGGAATGATGGGGCCTCCTCAAAAAAGACAGAGTCTCCTCCTCCTCGGTCAGTTGACCCTCCGATCCTGGTGACTCGTACACAAGTCCATGGTGCGGTCGTGTACGGCCGTGGATACGGAACGTCGGGTTGTCCTCATTCCCTAGCGACGTGTACGCACGTTTGTGTGTGCCAGCAGATGTCTCGGTAGCGGACAACAATGTTGTAGACCGCTCGGAAGATGTGCGCTGCAACTTTTATTCGTGCTTTTCCAAAAGTGACTGTTGTTGTGCCATTAGCTCAGTGAGTTCCTGTGCGGAATACTGGTCCCGTACCGTATCCTTGGTATTGGTGCGACGGCGGTGACATCTACGCTTGTTAGGTGGAAGACGTGGTTGGTCATTACCGGAGGATAAGGCCCCAGCAGTGCCCGAGGACGAACGGAAAGGCAGACCATTACTAGGTACATATTCACCAGTAATGGTCTGATTCCGGTCCGCACGCAGGTCGGGAACTCCCCTGGACTCACCCTAACGGACGACGTCATCCCCTGAGTGGGTAGGCTCATCTCCGCGTGCTGTTGGTGACTGCTTACTGTTAGTAGACATCGGGTGATGAACCTCTACACGCGCCTGTTGTTGCGCCTCCAGAACCTGCCCTGTGTGTGGGCTAGTGCGGGCCGGAATAGATTGGCGAGGCTAGTCCCGCGCCGGTCAATATCATGTTCTTTGCGACGTTCAGGGTTCAAGTGTTGCTGTCTACGACTTTGGCGGGGGTTGGACATGGTGGAGAAAGTGTGTTTCAACGGAGATCTTGAAATGTGTGCGAACGAACTCGGAAATGATTGAATATAAATACACATTTCATTACTTGAGTCCATCCCTCAAGCACACTATGTCTCGACGATTATACTCAAGGAACCAGTTGGCCCACTCTCGACTACTTCTACTTCACCCATAGGGTGGTAGATGAGTCTCGACTCACCATCCAACTAACTGATGTCTTGCTCCTCCTTCGAATAAATACCTTGCTGAGGTACACACCGCTTGTCGGAACATCCCTTCAACCTTTTGGTAGTCTGCTCCTACTCCGACGTGGGGTCAACCTATCCTCGGTACACCGTCGCGTACTCCACCGAACGCTCCTGACTTCGTGTCCTTGTCATGTGCTATTGCGGTTGTGTTCTCCTGAGCTTCTCCATATACCTGATTTACATGGAGGGTCTGGTGACTTGTGTGCGTTCGCATATCACTTGCCCAATTAGCAATGTAATACTTAGACCGCTCGTGTTACGTATGCAACCACCCTTATATGCTCCTACAGAGGCTCGCTGATGCTTACTTATGGCTCTGTGTTCGGTCCTGTATCCTACTCCGTTGACGAAACTTATCTATATCACGCTTTGTGCAATTCTATTCATAGTTGACTTCACTTGGATAGTTATTTTAGCTCAATTTCGTCACTATCCACTGTAGCCAACCTTAAGTTAATTGTTCTAAATAACCACTCCTATATATCCGTCTAGAAGCTACAAGCCCAATAGTTAATCCCTCATACTACGTGTGGAGTATGGTTGCCATTAAATGCACGTGTCTTGCCGTTCAATTTCCTACTTCTTAGAATTGTCGGCTTGCCAACTTCCTTGGTACACGTTATTCACTTCATTGTCGTGGTGCTTGATATGTATTAACCGCTGTACCTTTTACCTATCCTGTCCGTAATGCTTGTTCTACCTGTGTTTTGGTCATTGCCTAGTACCTATGATTTCAGCATCAACTAATTGTAAACACTGTTTCGTCAACTGCCGTGTGCACTGTTAACCTTGTCTGCTCTAGGTAAATACCATGTTTCAGTTCGTTTAACTCAATCTTTAAATAATCGTGTGTCCTTGTAAAACAACATAGTATGCTACTAATTTCTCTTTGTCGTATTACCAGCCGGTTTGGCTTTAACCATGTACACCTCCCATTTCTACCACAGTAGTTCCTGAAGAGCCTCCTTTTTCCTTCTAACAACTCTTAACTACAGTTTAAGCTTATTACTACTTGCACACTCGATCTGTACTTGTCTCACACTCAAACAACCTTTCTACCTTCTCTCCCACACGTGACTACTTATCTGGGTTTTCTGACTGGTTCTCTGTCTTCGTCATTTGATCGTCTTGGGCCCTTCCTTGGTGTTCCGGTGCCAATGATGTACTTGATTGAGCTGGTCCCTTCTCGGTTTCACTCGTGTTAGTAGTTTCTGTCTTCGTACTCGCTGTCCAAACGTCGCCAGGAAGACGGTCAGAGAATCTAAATCGTTCAAGATGTCGAGCCATGTCGTACCTATTGATTCTGAATCTCCTTTCATATACACTTCTTTGTTTTCCACGGCCATTCCCATGGCCCTCCGGTCTCAATTCTTCTTCCGCCTCACTGCTGTTGTTTGACATCAATGGCGGCATCGTATCGCTAGCATCACTACTCGAGAACCCGCTATCTCCTTCTTCATTAGGCAAATTTTGGAAGATCTCGTCATTTTGTCACGACATTCTATGTTCTTATTGTTTTTAATGTCTCTTCAGTTGCTATTCTTGTAACAAAAATTACTAGCTACCGTCTAACTCTTATTCCGTAGCTTTTCTATGATTACTAATAGACTAACAACATCTATGGTAGGTTAAAAATGTAGTAAGTGTACGCTAAGATAACTGTATCTCAACGTTCTTCCTCAATAGAGAGGTAGACGTTGTACTTTTATTTGGGATAATATTATGATCGAATTCGAAAGACTCTTAAAATCATATCTTTAGAAAAAAATTAGTAAAAAGAAAAAGAAAATACTCTTGATGTCTTTTGTTATTATCTTAACCAATAACTTTCCACTTATCAAGAATTACCGACTTGCCATCATTAGACTGGCAAATCTGGTTGGTTGAACGGAGGATCAACTAGGTAACATTAATAGTCCCTAGAAACCTATTTTCGGTTGAGCCATCTCGCTACCGAAGTATTCAGATATAAATAGATTTGGAATAAAATTTAGTTCGATTAATAAAACTATTCCAAATCTTATCTTTGGTATTTTAATCGGGCCTTTTAATGGTCTTCATCCAAACATCTGATATGTAAAACGGAAAAGGTACTTTTAAATAGAACCGTTATAAGCCATTTGGTTCACATACTATTAAGAGTACGTTTATAGTTTATGTACTGCTTAAGAGTACGTTTATAGAGCATGGTCTAATGTGAAGGCCCGGCTATTACTCAGTCCCCACCCAGCTTTGAGACCCAAGAGAGGCTAGTTGCTCACTCAAACTGATTTTGGGCTAAAAAGCGAGTAAAAGGTAAACAGGTCGAAACATTAAGTAGCATAACACATAGTTGTGTTTCGCAGGCGAAGAACTTGAGCGTTCTCGGTTACCCTGTGAGTTTTGGGCTTAGGTCCAGTAGGTCCGTGGTGGTCGACTGGACGTTTCTTACGCTTCAGTGTCTTAAGCACATATGAAGGATGAGCATTAAAGCTCGGGATAAGTGCTGTAGGCGGGTAAGTTTTAACTTCCGTACCTTCAGACGATGGAAACATGCTATTTTTTCCAGCTTGTGACTTATGCAGGCGTTTACGCCATTTTTGATTAAAGGCTTCTAAATAGTCTTAATTATCGAAAGCATCTGAAGTCAACTCAGCGATTGTACCGTCTATAAAACGAATACGACAGTATGTATATCCTCCTTTATCCGTTCTCCATATAATATCTTTAAATTCGGAGTGGTCAAGAGGGACATTATAATCATGTCTTCTTGCGAGTATAATCTTTGTAGTCGGAATACGACTTGAGCCTATATTAAAACTTTTAATGTCTGCTACAGAGATTATATGTGGAACTATCCATGTAGATGTTAATACAGTAGCATCGGAATTACGTTGACGGATGTTAACTCTGTCACCGACCTGATACTCTGCTATCTTTTTGGTAGTGTTCCAACGCTTTTGCCCTTTTAATAAGGCTATATTGCGTATTTCTCGCAAGCAAGGATATACAACGTTATAAATACATTGGTAACTCATGCTGATCAGATTCGTCCTTGTTAAAGGGGATTTGTAACTCACTATATCTGCCACGAAAATAGTGAGCGGGTGTAGTTCCTGTAACCGAATCAGCACACTCGTTCATCTGTGTTTGTACCCACTTAAGGTGGTACTGCCAATCATCTGCATCATCCGTTAATACACTACGCAAGAAGAACTTAAGTCTTCTATGGCGCGTTTCATTCGCGCCTTGCGTTTGCGGTTTATATGGCACACCTCATTTATGGCATATGCCTGATACAAGTACTAGCGATTCCATTACGTCATCGCAGAATTCACTACCGTTATCAGAGCACATAATACCTGGCCACCCGTGGTCAGTAAAGACTTGGCAACATAATTCTGCCACGGTCTGCGTTTTCTTATCCTTTAATGGATAGAGCAAGTTAAACCGTGACGACACATCAAAGAAGTGGCATACGTAACGGTCGCCTGTGTGCTCGGACGTAGGCAGGTCAACCAGATCAATGATGATCCTGCGCCATGGAATATTTTCAGTCACACTCTTAAGCGGGGCGAACCCATAGCGCTTGATCTGATTGAGAGATATATTTTGTCAACTAAAGATAGCTGGGCAATTAACTGCCATGGTGGATTAGCCCACGCATTATGTTTGGAAAGGTCTATATGAAAGGCGTCTCCCAAAGGATGATTTAAAGTCCTGTAATTCGATAGTTATGCATTATGATGTGCAGCAAACATATCTATGGTATGTGCCCCCAATATCTTTTGAGCCAGTTCAAATCACCTGGGATTACACTTCTAGTCAGTGGTGTAATAGCCGGGCCTCCACATTAGACTCTATGTTATAAACGTACTCTTAAGCAGTACGTAAATTAAAAACGTACTCTTAGTAGTACGAGGAACTTAAGTTTCCTAAATGGTATTTTTAATGGTTTTATTAATTAATACCTTTTCCATTTCGCATATCAGATATTTGCACGAGGCCATTAAAAGGCCCCAGTAAAATACCAAACATAAGAGTTGGTCTAGTTCTAAGTCAATTACTGAAAACATTGATCTTAAGAATCAGTGAGCTACCCTTATGAAAGACTTGATTGTTGAAAATGTAGAACGATTGTATAGATCAGGAAAATATACGCAGCACTTACGCGAGCATGTTTCTCCGGGCATTACTGAAGCCCTACAGAAGTGTACAGAATGTCGACAGGCAATTACGCCCGAAGAACATAAAGACTCGAGCGCTACACCTGTGACATATAAGCCAGATGTGCTCAGCGTATCTATACCTTACGAGGTACTACCACCAGAACTTCAGGCTAATTACTCGCCTGTTCTGACATCCGGCCGTGAGTCACCCGTCCTTGAGGGTATTATAAACCCAGAGGCAAGTAGAAATATTCCACCACTTTTACCCAATTGGGATGACGATCGTCGGAAACCAGTCAAGACTGGGTATGTTATCCAGACGCATGAATCACCCAAGATTATAATACCAACCGCTATCCAAGGAACAGAGCACCGAAAGGCCTCGACCATGGACTTTACAAGGGGTAATAAACACCTCCGTAAACGTGTTAACGAAGTCGAATTCAATCGCTTCGATCGCATAGCACTACATCAACCCGCAGAGGATTTTCACTCTGACGAGGTGACCGAACTTAAAAAATCGGTCGACGATTATACAATTAAAATGGAAATCGCCCACGATGCGCATCATGCTGAGGATGTATCATATTTTGCTATTATGATTGCGATTATGCAAAAAGGCATCGATCAGCTACTTCATGCCCAACGTGGACTAAAACATCTATCTTTTGAGCCAAATCAAACCACC